ATATTTCCGTAAACTAATTTCACAATAGATGAATAATCCCTAGGCTCTTGGAGGTTGTTACAGGTGTAAGAAATAATACCATGAATTCCCTAGAGCACGTTTCGAACCTACGTATATCATTTCGCAATGTATTATGAACATTTTAGAAATACCGTGGGGACACGCATCTGATATTGGATTCAACAGTCGTTTGTTTTTCTCCAAGAATTATGTATTTACCGTACATAAGTATTCTCCATTAAATATCAACGATCCATAGAATTCCAAGAAAATACAAAACCATCTACTTTCAACAAACACAAAAAAAAATACGTTGAAAGAATAATAAAAATTTTTCATCCTATTAAAATAATCACCGTTCACCTTTTTGACTTGAACAATGATTTTCTCGCGTCCCAATAAATCGTCAATTCTGTCGTATCCCATCGATCCGCCCCGCAGAACACCTTAAGAAGGTCTTACGAGGTAAAAGACATGGAGGTATCCCCTAAGGAATTTCTGTAGAGTGTTGTACGTTCTGTATAGAGGTTGAATGGATAAATCCTGAGCACTTATCTACCTCCTTCCCCTTCCTATCTCCACCCCCCCCCCTTTGTAGTAACATAAAATAGTGAATTCCACTGGGATTGGAAGTCTGTACTTGTGCACCTATGCTACATCCTCAAGCCACTGTCCCGGTATAAAAGTACTCGAGTCACCCCCATACCGGACTTACATGAAGAAAAAAAAAAAAAGAAGAAGGGTGGGAATAAAATAGAATCGTCCTGGCGATGGTGGCCGTCCCCTTCGGGCCATCAAGGATTCAAAGGACACGATAAATCTAACAGACGCACACTCGCGTAGATACATTGGCTGAGCTCGACGCTAAGGTACTTTTTTTTCAGCCCCCTTTTATGGCTAAAAGTGACGTTTTTACATCGACGGGGATCATTGCCACCTTTTGCTCTGATTGAATCCGACCAATCACATTCGCTCGCGGATTAATGTTCTCGATTCGTCACTCCTTTATACGAGGGAAAAAAAAAAAAAAAAAAACGGGAGAAAGGAAAAACGGATTTTATCCAATAATTTGTGAGTATCTCTAAAAGGGTTTGCTCTTCCTTTTCTCTTAATCTGGTCATTTTTTATTTTCATTTCCTTCCATTGCAGAAAAATTTCATTAAGTGAAATTTAATATATTTACGTATCTACGCTTTGGTAGCCTTACGCATGTATACAGAGATGTTTACATTTTTCATCCTTTATATGTATCTGTGTATATAGGGTTATTGCGTAATTGATGTCAAATTTGACACTGAAAATTATTTTGTCGATTATTTAATATCAGATTAATGTTTAATCCTACAATTCTGTAATGATGCTTCTCGTGTCTGAAACTTAAACTGAAGGATTGTTGAGATGTCGAGGTAATACGAAGCTGTCGTCTTGAAAAGAGTAAATTTTCACAGCGCTCCTCGCTTTCAGCAAAGTTAAGCTGAATGTACTATGTACGCGAAATCCAACCGCTTGTAGAAGTCTGTATTTGTGGAGTAAATTCCTCGTAATTGTTCTTCACTCGTTTCAGTCTTGATTGCGATGACAGTTGTACGTTTCTACGTGCAACTCGACATGAAACTCTTCCTACTTTATTGTTAGAAGACGTTGCGACGTATAAGACATCGGAAGTTTGAGAGTTGTTAAAATAGCAGAGAAATTCCAAAGTCTGGAATTTTCATGTACGAAGCTATGTCAACGGACGAACAAAAATATAGGAAACGAAGAAGATTATAAAAATAATCCAAAAGTATTTGTCAAGTATGCAAGAATTTTTTACCACTCTTTAGAAGTAGTAACGAGGTCAATATTTCTTTTTCTAATTCCAATACAAAGATCAATTTGATTGGCAATAAGGTCCTTGTTGAGTAAAAGATTACGGTACTTGTAATTACCAACTAGAATTATAGTTAAATCCTAGCATAAACCAGTGATTATATGTTCTGATTTTTATTTCGATTTCGTCCTCGAGTGGTCAGATGTTAACGAACTTTACTTTGTCAAAGGGTGAGTTTAAAAAAAAATAATTTCCCTGACTCCAACTCAATTTTACATTTTTTGGTATTTTCCCTTTGATCGATGATGAATCTCTTTCATCTACTAATAAAAGATTACTTTACAGAGAAAGTAATCGAATTTCCTGTTGGTTTATTTCTGAGTCTTGACCCTCTTGCAGGATGATAAACACTCCTATGGCAATTTAAATTTGTTATTACTAAAGTAACATCGTTCATGTTGGAGGGTTGTTACTTTCTTGATCTCGTTCCAAAACTTTTGTTTCATATTCAAAATTGTTATCGTTACAAATGACTATTATTATGTATGATAAACGACTTGCTTTTCATGAAATTCGAAATCAAGTTGAACCGTATTACACGAAATGTATTAGTGGAAAAAATAAAATGCTTAAGCTGTTTTACAAACAAAATGGCTAGTTTGGCTAATAATTCTGAGCCCAATGAAGATGAAATGGGTACAGATATTCTTATTTCTTATGTCACGAATCATTATTCATGAGTTACTTTTCCTTTCAATATTACATTTTTATTCGAGTATTGTATAGAGTGAGACACCTTTTTTTCAATATCCAATTTGTATCCGAGTATCAAAAGTATTGCCTAGATTATATTGTACATACTGTCAAACGAGTTGACGTACTTTAATATTTTTGACGTTGCTCAAGCAATTTGGAGTTTTCAAAATTTCGAGTTCATCGAACAGCTCGCGTAGTTAGATTCAATTACATTTGTATGCAATAATAAAATGAAAGCGTATTGTTTGGAAATAATGGATTTACGTTTTATTTAATTTACATTTAATTTGCGTAAGTAAGCTTTCATCGTTTCCAGCACGCTGTGCTGTAATAATCATCCTGACCTACATTACGTGATGCATTATTTGGTACTGTGTAATATACTGTTTCATGACGTATAGCTTTAAATCTTGATTCAGCCTATGTAAAATATATCTGCCAGTAGAGAACAGCAATGGGGTTTGCTGTATAATCTGTAAACTATTACAGCATGTTTTATTGAACAGTTAAAAAAAATTGTTTTTCTCCTGGGAAATTGTATTTGCAGGTACTGCTGGAGTATTTTATCACAACGATTTTTTACCTAGTCTCGGCTTGAAGCCTCTTAAATAATATGTCATATACTGTTAACTTTATGAGGTTATAAAAAAAAAGATTTTTTAAAATTCAAAAAAGGAAGAAAAAATCTTCATCTCATACTTTCCGCAGTCTTAAAAAGATTTTGAGTTTTTTATATATATATATTTTGTAACACCTTTAAAACTCAAGAAAGTAAGGCTATTTGAAAGTAAGTTTTAATAGTTCTTCTTATCGCGCGATTCCGAGTGAAGGGTGAATATCGTTCTCCTCGACATCCGGTTTGAGTATCTCGACCGACCGGAACCACTTTCGGTGTCTTCCGCCTTTATTACCGGGTTCCATTATCGCTAAACCAAATTAATGACACCATTATGTTATTAGGTTTGGAAGTCTCGGACAAAAATTCTAATTGTCCGAAAAAACTTCAGAGTCAATTGCTTCGTTGATTTTATGCTCTTTATTATTTTTTTTAATTCCATTTCTTGCCTCCCTTATGGATGGTAATATTAATATGTTGAATTTTCACTTTTTTACCTATCTAATTTTGCGCTTGAATCAAGCACGTTTTGGGTTGGGTTTCAATAGCGTTACGTCCCTAGAATATTTAGATCCGAAAATCTGTGTAATCTCCTGAGACACCTCTTACGACGCCATTGCGCCATTAAGTAAACTCTCTAGAAACCAATTTGCAAATTCTATTTGTCAAAAAGCCCTTTATAAAATACGACACCGGTTCTAGTGCATAAATTCAAAATTGAGACGAAAGTCAGGTACGCCTCGTTTCATACTTATCATCTATTATAATTACATGAAGTATATACAATATTTTGGAAATAGATTATCCAGTAGATTTTCAAGGTGGTTCAATGTATCGTATCTCATAATAGTATCGTAAAAGAAACGAAACTCAGTTTATTTGTCGAGTATGAAAACCAAGTGACCTAAAAGGAAAAGAGATTTTCTTTAAAATTGACCTACACTATTTCGTTATCAAAGGGTTAGTTTTAAAAGAACGTAGACGTTTGGCAAGTGGCCGTTCTAGGCGTTTGGGTACACAGAGGTTGTAGTGCAGTTACGTGAGATTATTGAACGCAGTTACTAATAAGAGAAGCTGAATAGTAGATAGAAAATAATAGGTCGTTAGTTGTAGCACGTAAATCACGTTAATCAGGGGGTATTCTGAGGATAGTTTGCCGTGAACGAGTGGAATATAGGTTCGTACAACAACTTAATCTAAGTTTGCCATCCTCCAAATCCCCCACAGTAACTGTTTCGTGTACCAATAGGAGCGCGTGCCATGTGCAATAACATTTTCGCGCCTAGTAACATTTATCGTCTAGGGGAAAATTTAGCGGAACAACCATACCCTATCATCATGAAGATTTGGCTCTTCAAAGTTCTACAATGGATTTATCATGCTAGATTTCACTTTGACGATAGCCCTTGTGCAATTGTGAGAACATTTTAAAGGCATGTGTTCTCCTCTTTCACGCCCTCGCCGATTCTCTAAAAATGCTTTTAACACCAATGACCCATCCATCTTTTTTTCCAATTCTATTTTATTTTTGAATTAACCTGACCTGACTCCACCATATTCTAACTTTTGGTTACCTTATCGATGGCTACCTTTTATTAATAGCGTCCTTCTTAATCCCAAGTTATTTTCAACTGTAGATCTAGGGACATTTTTCTTTCTTAAGAATAAACTTAAGTATACTTTATATCATAAGGATACTTATAAATGTACTTTGTCACACTTTTTGTTTGGATCTTTCCTTTCAATCTATTATACATACATATATCGCCCATCTTTTAACTTTGCTCACCTTTACTTCTTTCTTTGACTGTTATTCAGGTAGTACCAAGCCATGGATACATACCGAAGAACTAAGCGCTGAACGCGGAACGGAAGTGATACTACCGTGCCATCTGAAGTTGCCGGAATGTGGCGGACTTCACAGTGTGAAGTGGTATCACAACTCAACGAGGATCTTGATGTTCAGCGAGAGTGCAGGCCTGACCCGTACGGCTAACGATATAGCGACAAAGTGAGTACAGCAAGTACAAGTAAACGTATGCCAGTAGAAATTGAAAATTACCCAAATAGTTCCATCTGGTACTCTCGTCCCTTTTATAACGTACGTTCAACGGTTTCATTCGCTAAAAGCCTAAAAGAGTATTTCATGCAAACTCAAAACCGTATAGGTTCGGTACTTGATCACTTAGGGATTGAGAATCTGTGGAAGAAATTTATAATGATAAGATATATTCCAATAGAAACCTTCGATAGGAACGGTATGGGTGAATGAAAATAATTGACTTACTTGCACGCACTATTTGGTGTAGCACTGCGATTGCATCAGTCCCTTGGGCCAGTTTAGTATCGTCCCATACAGTAGACGAACAATGTGGCTAAAACTGTTTGATAAGCAAACAAACCGTCGGAGGACTGTAACGTGAGGAGAAATTTTGCGAATTTTTTTAGCTGGAAACGAGCATGTTTTTCGGATGTCTGGTTGGCTCCCGGCAATTCTACTGCCTATTTCTATTAGCTTTTTGGCCATTCGACCTGGTACGATTGTTCTCTTCATTCAATTATAATGGAAATACGATCGGGCTAAAGCTTATACAAAAGCATATCGGCTGACTGACTAAGTAACTAGGACAGGAAGATCAACGTTAACGTACGAACTCAATGCTAATTCCACGTCCAGGGGGTTGAAATACAAAGGATTTTCTCGTGCAATTTTACGAAATGAGGGTTGTATCTGTGCGAACTTGATTAACGGATGATATTAGGGGCTGACAGGAAGGGTGTGAGTATGTATAGATGAATCGGAGCAAAGGGTTATTTGTGAGAATGAATTAATTTTGGATCCGAGGGGGTATGGGTAAATTGTCGAAATCCTTTTATTGGCAAATACACTAGTGAAATGGGAATTTTCAGGGTCTTTTTTTCTTTTGTACAAAACTTCCCAACCCTCCGTATGAATTTTTCAAGTGGCATTGTAGTAATGTACGAGTTCAGTATTGGATTTACTTATCGTGCTTGATGGATTTAATCTTTTTGGGGAACTTTCCTGGCTTTCGGAGTATCCATGAAATCGGGTTCAATTGTGGCTTCGTGAATCGCGGTGAGAAATTGTTCTTTTATCAGGGATGGATCGACGGTGCGGCATACCTTTGATTCCTTGGCCCCAATCTTGTGATGGTTATTAACGTAGAAAGAGGCACGATATTATAGTATGTATATATGTATATACAATTGCGATATACCACGAGGAACGCTATTACTATATTTATTTATTGAGTGCGGCTTTTAGTTCGGTCAAAGAAACTAGAACGTCGTCTCCCAAGTATAAGAGAAAACAAATTTTTCGAATGGGTAGATGATACCAAAAGTGTCTAGTTACAAATCCCCGAATTGAATTGTGTTATTTCGTAATGATAGAGTTACATCATTTACGAGGCTTATCTCATGAATTTGATTTGTGACCATTTTTTTAATATTACAAACGATGTATCCTGAATTCAGTGATATTGAGATAGGGTACCCATTTAGGGTAGAAAGATTCGGACGAGTATCGCGTTTGCAGAAGTAACAAAGGTCACACCCAAAGGGTATCGAAGGGTCCTGGATTATTTCCTGATGCTCCTTTTGGGGTTAGAAGTAACAAACGAGGGTTCTAATTGGCCGCGTTTAGACCGTCTACCCGTCATCTCGTCGACGCGTTAATTCTGCAGGACCATCCCTTATTCTGACCTGGGGGTTGGGACTTTCCACCCTCGGCAACCGTCGCCACCTCTCAAAACCCTTTAGTCTTTGTCAGGATAGACATTAGCGACATCAGGAAGGCGCCCTTAACGAGTTCTCCGGGCTAGTATATCCTGCACTCGGAATTATAGTTACGAATTAGTAGCCCAAATGATCTGGTGCAGGCTACAGCTGGGAGTTGCAGCTTCAACAATTGCAGCTTCGTTCGTTACCAAGTCTGTAGCTCGGAGGTAGAAATGGGAATTATAGAATTTTTGAAAAATTTTCCTAAAAAGGAAATAGAAATTTTCATCTCTACGAATACAACAGGAAGACTGTATTTTAGGGTTGTATACCAGACACCCTCAAGTTTACATTGGTTTTTTTGTGTGTATATTTCGACAGCGGTAGAAACGTACCTTCCATCTATAAATGCTTCATCCCCTATCGAACCAACCCCTTTTTGCACAAAACTGGTCCGGCCAGATAAAGCGTTACGGGCGATTTACCCCAAAGTACTGTCACGTGGGAAAAAAAGGTTTAGCCCTGGACATTGTTGCCCACTTTTTTACCCCATCCCTCTCACCCCCTACTCAACGAACGGTATCGTGTACTAGAACGAATAGACACCCTCTGCCATGATAGCCGAACTTCACGTCTCCCATTCTTCATCCCACCCCGTCATCCCTGTCACTTCATTGACACTTTGTGAAATGTCCATCCTGAAGCTGCTAGGTAGGATTTGTTTCCTTTTTTTATTTTCTGGTTTTCATGGAGTTTTGAATGTTTTTCTCTTTTACGCACAGCCATGAGCACATTTCATGGTTCTCGATACGTTTATTGTTATGGCCACTTTTATTAAAGGAAGCAGCAACAGTCGATACGTGGTTAATACAGGATATCTGAAATTGCATACGTACTCATGCTTGCGCATCATGATGCGCAGAGATTTTAATTGCACCCTCTGCTGTACCTAGTTGTAACTTTTAGTTTCTTCGAAATAGAGAACAATTTTGTTCAAAACTATCACCCCGATACCGAAAGCGAATATACATATACAATTTCTTCTTGGACAGATTCTTTGTAAACAGGATAAGGAATTCGCGCGAGAAGCTGCAAACAATTATAAGGATGCCCATCTGTGATCTTCGCTAACGATTGCAAATGTATTCATTTTATTCATGAATACTGATTGCCACCGTGTACTTAGCTTAATTGTGCCCTGGCTCCTGCTTTAATGCCACTAACAAAATCGTCCAGGAACGTCGTCTCGATACGTCAGCCCACGTTGCTACGTCACTTTAGCCATAACGAGGTATATATCCCACGTGATTCAAGTACCGGGGAAAACACGATATAATTTTGATATATCATTAACTAATAAAAGTAATTCAGGTCAATTTCCAGAGCGTGTCCCATATCTAGGGAATATCTTTCTTTACCCTTAGTTTTTCTTGTAATTCCTGCTTCATGAGATTCTCTCCTTGATGAGATATAATGAATTTAAGATTATTCTACACAACTAAGATTAGAATAATCTTATGTCAAAGTGTTTCAATTTATCTTATAATTTGGAGTATTATTATAATGATATTATAAAACTATTAGTCTTATTATATACATATAGTACGTTACTTTATGCATAGTATTATAGTATTATAATACTATTTGCAAGCTGGGGAAATAGAGAGAGAACTGGCTGACAACGAGAGCACTCATAATAGAGAGTTCCAACATTTTTTATTACAAAAAGCAGAAACCATGTCCGCAGAAAAATTATTACTAGTCTAATGGTTAGTGTTTGGACAATAAAATATTGTAGTGGCAATGACAGCAATTCTGTCAAGATTTACTGTTGTAATTGTAAGTCACTTTGTCGATCTCATTAAAATTGTCAATTTCACTAGAAATTTCTCGTTCTTCAAATGCAAACTATTGCTCTAACAGTCGCAAGTATACATTTTCCCCCATGTATCATAACCCTCTCGATTGTTCCGTGGCTGCTTCTTTTTGTCAACGTACGAGAGACATGACATAAGATCATTAATTTTATAAAAATGTATGTTACATAAAAAATTTAAAAGAAAAATAAATTTACATAGAATCACGTATTTCTATATGCTTTTTTTTAATCTCTTACTCGTACTTCCGATCCAAGCGCAGACTCTTTACTCAAGGTCAACGACTAAAAATAGAACTCTGAAATGGCGCTTCAAACTGTCGTAAAAACTTTTCCTCAAAGTTGTTCGCGACAGACAGATTTTTTTTTGTAATCATTATGAAATGCTACTGGATTAAGTTATTCAATTTATAGTTGTGTCTATCCATACACCAAATTTTACCTATCCCTTCAGAAATTCTTATCACAGTTCAATCTTTACCGGCATGACAGGTCAAATACCACGAGTTGAGAAATTACTAAGTTCGTTGGTATTGATAACTTAATTTTTGCCGCCATGAATCAATAAAGGATTAGAGTCTGTGTTTTCAGTATTCTAAATAGGACTTGTGTCGTTCTACATACAGGGTGTCTCACCGAAAATGGACACCTTGATTATTTCTGTTACTATTCAAGATACGGAAAAAAGTTTCAGACAAAGTACAATAGTATGGTTTCAAGGGGGTTGGTTTTTCATCTAAATGATTTTTTTTTTATATGCATTCGATTTCCAGTTACAACATGTTATGTTTTTTTTTTTTTTTTAATGGAACATCATTTTCTGTTAAGATAAGAAAATGTAGCGCGTTTTTTTTTTCTTAACATTTTAATACCTTGCAGACTAAAATCCATACAACCATTTCTAAGTTATTGAGAAGTAAATTTATTGAACAATCTTTGGTTACGAAATTAAGCGCGCGAATCCTAAATTCTGTAGCGGCGCTGCAATCGAATATTCAATAGTAACGGAAATAATCGATGTGTACACTTTCGGTGAGACGCCCTGTATATACAGGGTAGGACAATAATTATTATCAGCGACAATACATCCCCAGCTATACTGTGCGAAGGTGCTGATAGTTATTGTCTATTTTTTGTATTTATCAAATTTTGTATGGCTAATTATAAAATGATATATTTTCAAAAAATATTGTTTTATTTCAATGTATGGTATGCTTACATGACACGTAATAAGGGTTGCCTGAACTCTCTGTAGCCCTTAAGTCTGGCACAATTCGTTACGGAATTTCCTGGCTGCCTTCATTAACGAGGGTAGTTCATTTTCAAATCCAAATTTGACCTGGAGACCCACGTCACTAGTTTGCTGACAAGTTTACTGCCACTTCGCGGTATAAGCATCTACTTGATATTTGAGCCTAATAAGTATCTCGCGAGATACCGTGGCATTTCTAAAGTTGTTAATGTTTTTGTAAGGATTATTGCTCCAAAGAGCTTCTAGAGAAACTCCGTTGAACATTGTTAATCCCATTAATGTCTAGAGAGCTAGTAATAAGATGCTTGACAAAGTATCATTAGTAGCAATGTGTACGTTGAAGTCCTGATTAATAGCATTATATTAAGCCTCGTTATCGTCACGCGACTTACAGTTTTTTAGTTGTACAAAAATTACTCAAACATGATCCTACAAGAGTTATAACATCCTTACGAATTTATTGAATGCTCAACAGAGAAGTAACTTTAATTCATATCATCTGCTACTATAAGTACTAGAAGCATGTAATGGGAAAATACATATCGGGAGGTGGGCAGGGGGGGAATGTACATTCCTCATCCGGGAATGCAGTCTGTTTTCAAGAAGATTTCATTGAAATGCTCGATACCTTGTTAGACGCAGATTATTGGGCATCGTGAGAGTTATTACGCAAGGGATTCAAAATGAGGAATCTTAGGTAAACCCAGTATTGATAATGAGAAATTCCGTATTAGTCCAGCGGCGGTAAACTAAATATATGGTAGCCATTTGTAAAATTCTATAGAACCGTAAGCGCATGCGCAACCATTTGACAATTATATAATAGTAATACGTGTATGATGTGTGTTTGCGTAAAAGTGCTTTGCTGCACTCTTACCGGTAATGTATAGTATAATCATTTCAGTATCCTGTGATTTTGACATGTTACCAATCTGCTCATTTTCATCCCCCAAGCTGCCTACAGATACTGCTGCCAACAATCCCTCCTGGCCATATACCCCGTTACGCTAACCATTCTAGTTTCCCTTGCAACCCTCTAACCAGGGTATCCATTGTCCCGTCAGCTCGAATGGCCGATCGCTTAATTTGGTTAATTATACCGAGATCGATGATATTTTCAAAGGGAACGAAATGTCCTGGCTCTTTGAATTTCAGGGGAATGAAGAATGCCGCAATCAATGCTGAAAACTTTGACATGAAATACGGATCAGTTTCGAAAATAAAAATAAAACGTACAAATTTATATTTATTGTTTTTACTGGTCATACAGATTAATTCGGATTAAGCATACTGTTTGAAGTTAGCACGTGTCATTTGACTTTTACGGTAAAAACCATCTTTGATGGGGCTACTTGACTCGAAGAACTTTATATAGTAGGCAAAATTGTTTTACCCGATAATAATTATTTTTTTCCAAATTTCAGGGCCGAGATAATCAACGAGGCCAACGCGACGACAATTTTATTGAAAATACCAAACATCAAATTAACATACGAAGGACTGTACAAGTGCGAGCCTACTTATGCGGCTGTCAATCGTGAATGTAATTACATGCAACAAATCGCCCTTACCGTAACTGGTAAGTGACTTTTAATTCATTAAAATGTATCGAACAGTCCCTTACGGAAAACGTATGTTGAAAATGATGAAACATGGAGTGGCTGCAATTTTTTTCGTATTAAAGTACAACAAGGAAAGGACTTAGTCGGTCGTGTTGTGATAAAATAAAATAATGATAACTATGTAATCGTTAGAGGGACAATGCTCTCTGAAAGAAATTTTAGGTAAAACAATGAAAGAATTTTCTGTTGAATTACCCTTAATATAACTTATGCTTGGTTTTATAAATATATGCATATGCCGTGATCCAAATACACTGACCCGTGCATGGACTAAGGATCGCACGTGGAATTAGCATTATAAATTAGCCTTGGACAAAAAATGGATTAACTTTAACTCATCCTCACAGTAGAATTTATCTTAATGGCTGGATGTCTGCCTCTGAGTTTTTCTACTTTGTATTTAAATACGGCGTACGACACTTGGATGATTTTTCATTAGATTCTTCTCGAAACGATGGAAGGAGCTCTTTGATCTCTTGCCGACAAGAAAGTTCTTTGACGTTGACTTTGACTTATGGAGGAAATGTCATGCTTAAATTTTCGTATAAAACTTACATAGAGCGCGGGGGATTTTATTAAAAGTGACTTTGTACCCATTACATTCCTTTTTCTCCCTTTAGATTCTAAAATCCCTTTCGCTCTATCTTCGCGAAACTTAAGCATGATAAACTTTAATATGAAAATTTGTTTTTTATTTTTAACAATATAAGCATTATCAATATTTTATTTTCATATTTTTATATTTTGACAAAATATGATAAGGTCATATACAATTTTTATGTCTTTTCTATCCAATGTGGTGATCTAATCCAAAAATATTTTGACAATAAACTAATAATTAGTTACCAATAAACTAGTCAACATCAGATATCTTTCTAATGATTTGGAGATTTTTTTTATCTCTCGTACCACTCTCTTATCCCTCCTCTCCGTTTCTCCCTTTGTCACCAAAGAGTTCGATAAGGAAATAATACTATATCCACAGATTCAAAAAGAATTCGCGGAATGGAATATAAGGCATTTGTGGCTTTACGGACGTATTTCACAACTCACTGCGAACTCTCTGAAACAGCGTGGCGTCTTTTTTTGGTATTCTGTCTGACAAAGGCTGCAGCGACGCTTGCAGGAGTCGCGGTAAGTTTTGAAATACGCTCTATATTATCTTTGCGAAATGGCTACGATTCTTCATGGGATTATATTGTCGTGCCTCCTGACCCTTTATATTACTTGATATTACATAAAACAATGTGTCTCGCTTGCGATGCATGAAGCGAGTCAGATTTTTTTTTTCACCGTGAGTTAAATATTACGTCAATTGTCGTTACGTGAGTTACATCGAAAAACATTCCTATAAATATATTGACTGTTTGGAATGAGTTTCTAGAAAACTTTTTCACCCCCCAAGTCTCTATTAGTAATATTTATAAATCCTTGTAATTGAATTTGACGATATGTAAAAAGTTGACTAAGTCGGTGTATTTAGAGTTTCCGATCCTTAAAGGGATTGCTGGATAGCTCGGCTTTAAGGGTTTCGCCTGCGGCAATGCAGAGGGACAATAGGAGCGTTCGACATTTCGGGGGTAGCAATGCGACATTCGTGTCACGAGAGCTAGAACCAACCCCTCTATTTTGGTGCTGTAGTAACACCCTTCGAGTCCAGCTAGGTTCTAGATGCCACACTGAGGGTGACTGACTATCGATAGTGGGTTAGTGTAGTCAGTAAGGGCAGTTACTTAAAAGAGACCTGAAACAGCTAATATATAATACGTCTCGTGACCGAGGCCCATATGCCATCAACCCTTAGAGTGTGCTCATTGAATAGCTGGGGTGCGCGGCGCGTAACGAGCCGCACCTTGTTTAATTCACCTTTCAGAGGTCGACAATTATTGATCATCCCCTATTTTCCGTCGCCAATTATCGCCTACTTGATTAGCGTAGTTTAAAAGCCTTAGGAATTTATTGACTAGTTCCCGTCGACTTTTCCTTTCATTCTTGGTCGGACTTACGTTATCTTGGACCAAATATCATCCCCGGTCCCCTCAACGTGGATTTTCACTTCAACCCAGTTTTTTTAGTACATTAATCAACATTTGCTCAGGACCATTTAAATACTGCGATCGATCGAGCCCGTTACTGTTTATCCGGTATATCTCATCGGCTGGAGTAACAACTCCTAACCAGTTCGAAGCCACCCCTTTAGCCACCCACTGACCAGTACCTCTGCGCTGTGGCCAATATGCATATTCGTAACGCCTACATGACTGAATCCAATGAATAATCGGTGTCGAACGACTTTGAAAAAAAAATTTATTTTTGAAATGAACGAAATTCAGTATTTTTTTAAATCAGAATTAAAATTTCTTTGACTGGCAATGATGAAAAATATTCACGTGCAAGAGTATACGCAAATATTAATTTTCGAAAGTGCAAGCTTGAAATTGGGTGTATATGACCTTTCATAGATACGTATTTATATGTATTATCAGTTTGAGGGTTCCTGAATTTTATTTGTAATATTTACCTATGCTAAAATTGTTTTTTCACGCGGGAATGTGAAGCACGAAATTTTGACAATTTCAATTTTGCAATTTATCTGATCATTTTTCATGTGTCACGTTATATTTTAAATTCCCTATAATTCTTAGAATTGCGGCTACATTGCACGTACGTGTAATAGTAACGACGTGCAACACTTTATAACGGTACGCAAAAAGTAAACTAATGTCGTGCTGAGTCAGACACGTAAAATCAGATGTAGCGGATCGCGTGCGTTACGCTCGGACGTTTCTAAATGCGTAGAATATTTCATTATAAAAAAAATTAGGAATTCCAAACACAGCGAAGAATATCGTTTTTCATAATTTAAACTCATTTGGCTAAGGGAGGAAGGGGGTGCGCAAACACATTCATCCCTTGCATCTGTTCATGTATCCCACATGCCGTATACCTAATTTCGGCAAGTCGAATGCTAGCTTCCGGTAAACTCATTGAATTATGTAGCTTCTGTCGCGGCAGAGTAAGTACGCCAATAATTTCTAATTAACGTATAATGGTTAATTATGAGAGTCTCCCGTACTAATGCGGCTTACTGCGCTTGCTGACCGCCAAGGATAATATATCCTGCAGGTTGCACTGCCATAACGGTACTCTTGTTAGTCGAGCGACCGACCAACCGGTGAAAACAACCTAAACCTCTATGTCCTTGTCAAAGACCCTTCTTACAATTCATCCTGAACAATGTCTTGGGTATATGAAAATGACCAAAACCTTTTTCAGATATTTCCCATACTCCCTTTTATCTGAATACAAATTTTCTTCTATCACCGTACGTATAACAATATTGAGATTAAGAAAGGTAGGACGATATTTAAGTGATAAATTTTTACCAAACCGAAATACCTTCTGTTTGTAGTGTATTGTAATATCCGTTGCTTGCATTAAAATGACCATGTATCATTGTATTAATCGAGATTTATTATAAACAATTTGCTAGCTTATGAATCTATAATAATTAACTTTAAGCTTGTCAAAATCAATAGTTTTAATGAATTTTTGAAAGTTGAACGAAAATTTGTATCATTTGATAACAATAAGTTTACATGATGATATTAAAGGAGATTAACGATTCATGTTGCTTGCTTTTGAATGGAAGAAAAATTTGTTATTTCGTTTTTTATTAAAGTTACTGCTCCGACTTTTGGGATAATTAATCTGCGATCATTAGCATTCCAAGAGATTTTAGATTATATCAGAAAATAAAGGTAGGTCTGATTATTTCAAGTTTTTAGATTGATCATTGAACGATCGGGAAGGTTAACATTTTTTAGAAATTGTGTATACGCTATAGTGATTGAAATCGTGACAGCTTATAGGAAATTCGATATTTCTGACTGAATTTCAGTTCCTTATTTATTTTTCTTTTCTCCTTTCGTCTTGACGTTTGTAATATTACGATAGAAGGATATTTGACCTTTAGAGCAGATTTCCTTACGTAAGCTCATACTTACGAAAATTCTTTGACGTATTTGACATTTTTGGTTTTCTGTGTTCACTGATTTATTTATTCATTTGGGTATCCCTTTCTTCTTTTATTTTCTCAATTTCCATATCCTTTTGCTGGACATGTCACTATGAAATTCTTTCATTTGTTTTTATATTCTGTTATTAGAACTTACATTTATTATATTAAAAATCTTGGGAACCCTCGAGAAGTGGAAAGAAAGTTACGGATTTAAAATATATTACTTCGGAAAGCCTCCTGCGTTACCCAGTATATCAAACAGCCTTGGCCTCTGGGAATTGTTTCTGAAAGATCTTATAGATTTTAAAAGTCCGCAACTTAGCCAATGTGAATCTTTCACTTATAACGTCTGTTATATTAAAAAGTGTCAGCTTAACTTTTCATTGTGAGCGGGACGACGCGCACGATGTGTCCTGTGGGATAGGAATGAGTAGAAAACGAAGACTGACACAAGTCAATTTTTCAAGACGCCAAGTGACCCTTAAAAAAAAAAGACAATAATATGTGAAAATCTCTATTGAATATCCGTTCAGGTGTTCTGGTCACATGAGTGATGTTGTACACGTATCTACCAGCGTTGCAGCCTAGCTAAATCACTACCCCATTTCTTAGGTTCATTTTTCTTTTTCCACCCCTAGCACACGCCTTCAGTATAGAAGGGCTGAATTTCGTCGGTAAGAGCACATCATAACGGATATAACGTCTAGCCTTTTGCCGAAGTTTGCTTGGGCAAGAAAAAAAGAGAAGAGGCTGAAGGAAGAAGAAATATATAATAAATACCAAATCCACCTTAGCTAGGCTATCGGAGTGAAGGTTTAGCCTGTCGAGATTCTGACGCTTTCCCTAAGGGATTCTTTGAAAATTTTGTTCCCGCAATGCGTTCTTTATATTCCCTAAACGTTAAAATCCGGGTGTGCAGTTTCGAAAATTCTACGT